ACAACTACAAAGAGACACAAAAAGACTACAAATAAACACAAAACAACCACAAAGAGACACAAAAAGACAACCAAGATATCACACTGACTATGAAAACAAGTGTCCCAACTCCAGACTGCACACTAATTGAAAGGAGGATTAGCATGTATTGTTTTCACACCGGATGAAGTAAACTGAAGACATTAGTCAGTATTCAGAATGGTTTATTGAGGCGGTAATACTGCTGTCTCACAATACATCGTCCAATGAAACACAGAATCTCTTCATAGCTGCAAAACACGAAGATGAATTGTGAACATTGAGTTAGTATAGAATCGTTGTTAAAATATGTTTTCGTACAAAATTCACACTAACTTATTGTGTAGTGACTGTAAAGACAATATATTTTGATGATTAGTATACACTGTAGTAAATACTGAAGACAGTCTGTTATATTTAATTGTTTTTTCCTTTTCTTGAAAAACAATGTATTTGATGATTTAATCACATGGTGTTCATGTAATTATTAATTATTATCATTGACACACATAACTGACCAGTAATGTTAAACCCCCCACCTCCCCCCCCACCTCCCATGGAGACATAACTCCAGTCCGACTGGATCTTAAAACTGTTTTCTATTTATTTATTTACTGCTTGTTGAACGTGTTTTATTGGGTTTATCTCTTATGTATCGGCTCAATAAGCACAACGTAAAGTCTGACGACTTGTGTTCTTGTCCTCTCAGTTTCCTGACAACCTGCCTTGCTCAGTGGCTCTCCAGCCATCACCCCACGATGTCGGCAAGGTAAGATCCCGACACGGGAATCTAACTGGTGCTGATGAAGCAGACGCATCCCAGGTTGGTGACGTCTGTTCTCTCTTCTTCTGCAGCAATGTGCCGTGGAGTTTGAGATCAAAGCGTTCAGCGCTGAGAGTCAGGACGCTAAAATACGCAAACGGTGAGTCTCAGCTCTGTCCTCTACGGGAGAGGATAAGGGACAAACATAGGGGGAATATTCAGAGAAGAAAGTCAAAATGTCATAATACTAATTCTAGTAGTTTTATTTATGTTCAACAATAAAACTTCATACTCAACATTTTAACATTAAACTCAACTTTTCAACATTTTTCACAACTTTTAACTCATAATCAACATTTCAACATTATTTTCAAAATGTAACTTTCTGCTCAAAAAATGTAACGTTATGCTCAACATTTCAGTTTTAATCTCAACATTTCAACATTTCTATCAACATTTAAACATTATTCACAACATTTCAAGCTTTTTTTCCAACATATCAGTTAATTTATCAAAATAATGAATCTATTTTTAAATGTATTATACCTGGCACTAATACTGAAGTGATCTCAAAAGTCAAAATGTAAAAGGATGTGTTGGCCCTGAGACTCATCTGTAGACCTCAGATCACCTTTTTCTTTTATTCCGAACACTAAGATAGCAGTGATTCAGAATAAGTGTCACCCGGACTTTGTACGTCTTTATTATTTAAACGATTGTTTCTCTTTGTCCAACAGGAGCTCAGTGAAGCTGATGATCAGGAAGGTTCAGTATGGTCCAGAGAAGGAGGGAGCGCCGCCATCTGTTGAAACCACCAGGGACTTTGTCATGTCGGACAAACCGCTGCATGTCAGGGCTAGTCTGGACAAAGAGGTGCGTTTCTTCATTATTTGTATCTTTAAACAGTAACATGATGTCGGGAATGTTTGTCAGCAGCCGTCAGTCAGGAAAGTTGTACTATTTCAAAAGCAGTTGCAGCATCTTCTTCATGGCTGATGCACATCATGCTCATATAACTCGTCACACCTCCGTCTGAAAGGACTTAATGAAACCTAGCACTTTGATCAAATACGGAGTTGTTGTGCTTGAAGCCCATCTATTGTGCATTATTATCATTAGAAGTGTTGCCTTTTATATCCTCTGATCAACACTGTTTTAACTCTGCACATGAGGGGGTTTAGTTATTTCTCTAGATCAGCTTGTTGACTAGATATTTGTAAAGAACTTTACCTTGAAATAGCCTTGTGCATCGTCAGTAGTATGAACAGATGATGTGTTGTTTAAGCTCTCTGGCCTTGCATCTTGTTTCCAGACATACTACCACGGTGAGCCCGTCAAAGTGCACGTCAGCGTCACAAACAACTCCAGCAAAAACATCAAGAACCTCATCGTCTCTGGTAAACACGACTGCTATTAGAGGAGGGACGTTCTTCACTTCAGACATGCACAGATGCATTTAAGTTGCATGAAGCCAGAGAAGCTAAATGTCTCAACTTCTTGTTGCATGAACAAGTGTAAATGGAAGTCCTGTTCCTTCTCGTCCTCCTCAGTGGATCAGGTCTCCACGGTGGTGTTGTACTCCAATGACAGCTACGTCAAATCTGTGGCCATCGAGGAACCGGGGTAAATAACTACGTCTTACTGAATTACAGAGAGAGGTTTCATCATCATCACATCTGTAGATCTAAATCAGTGTTGTACTCTGTCACATCAGGAAGACATTTCTCTCTATGACAGTTTTCTGGTTGTATAAAGAAAATATAAATATAACTTTAACAGCCTCAATAATTAAGATACGTTTTGAATATGAAGGAAGAAAGAAAGATGCGCCTCAAACATGGAGGTTTGTGCCTTTTTTAGTCACAATGATTGATGAGTGTTGAACTCCTTTGATAGATTTCAGCTTTGAGAAATAAAACACTAACAAAGAACGTGAGAGAGAGTTCGAGGGTCACTAACCTGTTATCTAACCAAAGTTAAACGCTGTTAATTACTCTGTATTATATGATGCTGGCTCATGAGTCATGTTTGCATCGTGTGATGAGAGATTTGTTAATATGATTGTTAACCTGCAAAAGCTGCTCAACCAGGTACTGATACCAGCAACTGGAACCTGGGTTTTAACTTTAGTGCTCAAACAAACCGCTAAGAATCAGATTTTATAACTACTTCTAGTCCCGAGTATTCAGAAAGCAACGTATTGGAAATACACTCACAAGACTTTTAGACCTTGGTGAACATTAACAGAAGGACCACGTGGTCTGTAAGTTCTATTGCTTCATCACACGGAATAAAACTGACCTCTGGACAGTTAAAGATCAAACTAACCTGAGACGAACCAGGAAACTGATACGAGTATTCTGCCTCACTGAGAAGAGAAAGACCACTTTGACAACAAGTTTGCCATTCAGACTGAGAAAGGAGAACTACAGGAGGGAAGACTGGAGTACTGCCTCTTAGACCTGCTGGAGACTCACAAGAAGAAAGTGGAATCTCAAGAGACGAAGGGAGTGAAGGACGACTGGCTGATACTCTGCTGAGTTCACAGCTTCACTCACGGACTAAATGGCTTCCAGGTTAGAGGAAGATCTCTGCTGTTCTGTCTGCTGTGAGGTCTTTGAAGATCCCGTTATCCTGTCATGTTGCCACAGCTTCTGTAGAGTCTGTCTGCAGAACTGGTGGACAGAGAAGGAAGTCCAAGAGTGTCCACTTTGTAAGAGAAGACATTCAAAGGAACTCGTACCTCCTAACTTCACTTTAAAGAACCTGTGTGAGAGTTTCCTACAGCAGAGCGATCAGAGAGCTTCAGAGCCTCTCTGCAGTCTGCACTCTGAGGAACTCAAACTCTTCTGTCTGGACCATCAGCAGCCGGTGTGTCTCGTCTGCAGAGATTCAGAGAAACACAGCGACCACAGATTCAGACCCATCGATGAAGCTGCGCCACAACACAAGAAGAACCTTCAGGAAGCTCTGGAGCCCTTAAAGGAGAAGTTAAAGGTTTATGAAGAAGTTCAAGAGAAGTCTGATCAAACAGCAGAACACATGAAGGTCCAGGCCCGACGCACAGAGAGGCAGATTCAGGAGTAGTTTAAGGAGCTTTACCAGTTTCTAGAGGAGGAAGAGGAGGCCAGGATGGCTGCACTGAGGGAGGAAGAGGAGCAGAAGAGTCAGATGATGAAGGAGAAGATGGAGGCTCTGAGCAGAGAGATAGCAGCTCTTTCAGACACAGTCAGAGCCACAGAGGACCAGCTGAGAGCTGAAGACGTCTCATTCCTGAACAACTACAAGGCTGCAGTGGAAAGAGTCCAGCAGCGCCCCCTGCTGGAGGATCCACAGCTGCTCTCAGGAGCTCTGATAGACCAGGCCAAACACCTGGGTAACCTGGCCTTCAACATCTGGAACAAGATGAAGGACATGGTCTCCTACACTCCTGTGGTTCTGGACCCAAACACTGCTGGTTCAGGACTCATCCTGTCTGAAGATCTGACCAGTGTGAGACCAGGAGAGGAACAGCAGGTTCCTGATAATCCAGAGAGGTTTGATGGATGTTGGTCTGTTCTGGGTTCTGAGGGATTTAACTCAGGGACGTCCAGGTTGGAGACAGTACAGACTGGTCTCTGGGTGTGTTACCAGAGTCTGTCCAGAGGAAGAGAGACATAGAGTCTGGATTATGGAGAATATGGTTCTGGGTTGGTGAATACTGAGCTGCCTCTCCATCAGATCAATTCGTTCTCAAAGTCCAGAAGTATCCCCAGAGGATCAGAGTGAATCTGGACTGGAACAGAGGAAAGCTGTCGTTCTCTGATCCTGAAACCAACACACACATACTCACCGTCATGGAGATGATGATGAAGATGCCTTTTAACAGCTAAACTTTCAACATCTTGAAGAACTATTTCTTTTAAAAAGGCTTCTTGTGGATGAAATGACCCAAACTGTTTTTAACATCACTTCCTGCTTTAACTTTGACTCGCTGTACTTATTGTAGTTGTGTTCACAGAGTTTCTTTAGTGATGTCATCTTGTTCCCAGGTCTCACATATTTTCAATGAAACAAAGTCTCTTAAAAATATAAGACAAATCCTAACAAATACATTAACATTTAAATGAACGTGGTTTTAGCTTGCCTCCTTGTTTTATTTTTATTTCTTAATATGCAGTTGGAAAAAAGAATCTTTGTATTTACAGTTAATTGAATTAGTCTGTAATATAACTTGTCTGTTTGAAGTTAAAGTTAAGGTAACATTGTCACTATAACTATTATTTGATTAATCTTAAAGGTTTGTTCTTCTGTCTCAATAAAATAATTTTACTCGTCAGAAAACTACAGAAGTCTTTGGTTCATAATTTTGGTTCGAGTGTGAATGACGTCGCTTTTAATGTTACAGTGAAGGAAAATTGCTCCTTGTATGTTTTTATTACACTTCCTGGTTTAGCTTCCCTAATTTTTTTAACATTCCTCAAAGCTTTTTCAGAAGAGTTTCAAACGTGAGCCGGAGGACATTTAAGATTTGGATGCTCGATAGTAAAATCATGGAGGTCATTGTACACTACTGTATTTTCTACTAAAGTTTAATAATGCTCATTTGTGTCTCAGGGATTCGGTGTCTCCTGGAGCAACCCTGCAGAAAGTCTACACCTTGCTGCCTCTGCTGGCTAACAACAGGGAGAGGAGGGGCATCGCTCTGGACGGCAAGCTGAAGCATGAAGACACCAACCTGGCGTCATCGAGCATGTGAGCAACACATCCAGCCTCTTTAAAAGAAAACAGTTGTTAGGTGGATCCCGTAGATCCAGTAGATAGATACAGGCAATACATCTACTCAATAAGGTTTAGGTAACAAAACTATTTAGTTATGTTTCGCCAAAACAACTACTTGGATAGGTTTAGCCCACAACACTGCTTAGTTAAGTTTAGGCCACTAAACATACTAAACACTGTCACAAACCGGGCCGAACGGCCATGACAAAAAAAGGGAGACTCATTCAATGAAACAGTTGATTAATTATTTATTAAGTTTAAAGTAATATAAAAGAAACAAACTAACTGACATGTGAAGTCAGTCATTTCAGCAGTGTGAGTGGGTGCATGTAAAGTGTATATGCAGTGTTGTATAGTGTAGGAACAAACCACAACCGAAACCAAAGTGGGTGTCTCAGGAAAGAGAGAGCGACCCACTGAGAATCCAGAGGGTTTTTATACTGAGTGCTCTGGCACACAGGGCCAGTGTTGCAAATGCCATTGGTTTCAATGCCATTGGTTCCTGCTGGACATCACCAGGTGCACTAGAAGAGTGAGCATAATAGGGTTTCAGCAAGTTCACGTGGAACAATTTAATAGGTTTCCTGCGACCGCGAGTTGAAATCAAATAATTCTTGTCTGCGATGCGTTTAACCACTGTAAACGGACCACAAAACTTAGCCTGGAAGGGTGAAGTCACCAACAGACAAAGAGCCAAAACTCAATCACTGGCACTAAACTCACGCATCTCAGCTTGAGGACCATACCGCTTCATTTTAGCTTGTGATGCGGCTAACATTTCCATTACCAACTCCCCTGCAGAATAAAGTCAATGCCTAAACCCATTCACATAATCAATAAGATTGGTGGGCGGACCTGACTCCTTCCAACCATCCTTAAACACAGACACTGGACCCCGGACAGTGTGGCCAAACACTAGATCATTTGGGCTAAACCCTGTACTTTCCTGTACAACCTCCCATGCAGCTAACAGCAACCACAGTAGGCCATCTTCCCAGTCCCCATCTAGCTCGGTGCAATATGAACGCAAAAGAGACTTGAGTTTTTGGTGAAACCGCTCCAAAGCGCCCCGACTCCGTGCGTGATAAGCAGACGACTGGTTATGTCTGATACCTAGCAGCTTTAACACTTGGGCCATCAGGCGAGAAGAAAAATGTGATCCCTGGTCACTTTGTATGACTCTAGGGATGCCAAACACAGTTATGAATTGCCTCAGGGCCTTAACCACAGATTTTGCAGTTATTGTTCGCAAAGGATACGCTGCCGGGTACCCGGTGCTTTGACACAACAGTTATCAAATACTGGCTACCAGACTTCGCACGGCGCAGCGGCCCCACACAATCAATGATTAGGCACTCAATGGCTGACAGCTGGAATTGGCTCCAGTGGAGCAGGTTTAGTGACCTGATTTGGCCTATTAGTCATCCTACATGTACTACAGGTTTTAATATGCATAGAAACATCCTTTTTCATTTGTGGCCAGAAGAAATGGCAAAAAAACCTAGTCATAGGTTTTCTGGACACCCAAATGCCCTGATCCATCATGAGCAAGTCTTAACACATGACCACGAAGCTTGGCTGGAATGACAACTTGAAAAATGGGATCCCCAACAAAATCCTCACCATGGGGCACCCACTTCCTCACCAAAATACCATCTCGAAGAAGGTAGCCCCTGGACGCACGTTTCGCCTCACCAACTGACAGCACTGATCCAAACAACTCCTCCAAGGCTGGATCTGCTCTGTTCATTCTGCAGATCACTATGAGACACAGAAAAAAGAAAATCGGGTAAACACAGCAATTTTTTCCTCCACGTCCCCATCTACCTCCTTTGATTCGGCACGACTCATCGACCGAGTAACTGCACATGCAGGGAAAACTTCGGGAAAGTTTACAACACTCTCAGGCTGTTCTGAGGCTGAAGGAAAGGGAGTGACTATCGGAGGAGGAGGCACATCTGCCCACACACACACACACCACGCCAGATTCTGCATGCCCACCAGTTGAGTTAAGGAAATGGTTAGGTTTAAGCAACAAAATGAATTAGTTACGTTTCTGAAAATAACATAAATTACTTGGTTAGATTTGGGCAATAACACCAATTAGTTAGGTAACAAAACTACTCGTGTAAGTTCAGGTAAAGATTGTGAAATAGTTAGGTTTAGGCAACAAAACTGTTATGGGATAGTGTAGTTTGTGGCCCCAAACGCACGCACACAGCAGGTTTACTCCAGCCAAGACTTTATTTTAAATGTGCAGGAGGAGTCAAAGAATGAATGAACAAAAACAAAGACCAACTGTCCAGCAAATTAAAGTCACTCCTCTTTCTGCACCGGAGTCCGGAGGGAAGCTCAACCGCACTCAATACTGAAGGAACAGAAAAACAAACAGATTACAATCTTCACTGAATCGGTGTTCAGACTTACGTGCACTGTGACCAGACTGGTAACTGGACGGACTGACGCCGCACCGGGGAAACGCGAGGTATTTAAGCCAGCTGGGGACGATCAGCTGGAATTCCCCACAGCTGAGCCTAAGGAGTGGGGTGTGGTAGAGGGCGGAACACGGGGGTGGAAACTGTAGGCTGACACAAAAACAAAGCATAAGCACATGGCCCACAATAACAAAACAGACAGGGGAAAAACAGAGGAGCACACACTAGGAGCAGACAGGGATCCTAACACAAACTACTTGAAATACTTTGTTATGTTTCAGCAACAGAACTCAAGATTGTAAAATACTTTGTTAGCTTTTGGTTAGATTTAGGCAACAAGACTGCTGAGTAAGATTTACATAACAAAGCTACCGAAGCAAGTTTAGGAAAAGATTATACTTAGTTTCGTTTTAAAACTACTCAGTTAAGTTAAAGAATAGATCGTGAACTTCTTGGTCAGGTTCAAGCAACAAAACTACTGACTTCTCGTTTCACAAGGAGCACAAACAGCGGTCTCCTGCTTTTGTTGACCCATACACCCCCCCTTCCTCGTTCATGATTACATAGAATTACATGCATATTTATTTCTTGGGATATCTACAGTTTACGCGCATTCATTTTCCTAGGAATAGCTACAGATGATGCATGAGAACAGCCTCCTAAATGACAGCTCGGTCATTGAGTCACATTATTATGTCTTTTATCAGAAGTGTTTGTTTTCACTTTCAGTGTCAAAGACGGTGTGCTGAAGGAAGTTATGGGGATCATGGTTTCATACAGAATCATGGTGAAGCTCATTGTCGGAGGGTCAGTCACAAGTGTTTGTGTGTGTTTGTGTGTGCGTGTTTCCCAGTAAAGACATTTAATATTAGAAAACCTGATGGAAATATGACATTTCTGTAAGGAAGGTTACAGCCTCCACCAGATCTCACGTTTTCTCATTCTTTATGAACATCATCATTTATCCATTAGCTCTATGTCCATTGCACTTTGTTGCTTTTTGATTTCATCAATACACCAACTTCTCCACCTCATTCAAGCATAAAACGTTTTTTTGTGAAATTTTGAGGCATTTACTAAATTTGTTACGCCAAAAACACACAGCCACAGTAGGAGACTTGTTAGACATGGTGGTGGAGACCAAAAACAGAGCTAAAAGAGAGAGAATATTGGACTTACGTTAATTTGGTGACACAAACATAAAGACTCCTGATGAATCATGTTATTCTGTAACTGATGGACGTAGAAATTCATTACTTTGGACCGAGTTTGAACTCACCGGCTCCTGACTGTTGCCAACTTTCAAATGTTTGCTGTCTTTGTTTGTTTTGTTAAAATCAAAACATTCAACATCATTTTTTATTCTCTCTGTTCCAATTTTCATCTTTGTCTCTGTCGTGTTCTCAGGATGATGGGATCAAGGTGAGTTCCTGTTGACTTGTTTTCATCAATAGTAGTAAGTAGAAAAGTAGAAAGTGACATATAATTGTTACATCATGTACTGTGTATTCATTCATTAATAAACTGCAGTGAGAAACACTTTTTTTTTTTTTTTTTTGTAATGCAGTGAGGTCGGTCTGGAAGTTCCCTTCAAACTGATGCATCCCAAACCTGATGCAGGTAAGGAAAGAACACATCCATCCATCCATCCATACATCCATCAATAATCCATCCACCCAACCATCATCCATCCATCAATAATCCATCATCCATCCATCCAACCATCATCCATCCTTCAATAATCCATCCATCCAACCATCATCCATCCATCAATAATCCACCATGCATGCATCCAACCATCATCCATCCATCAATAATCCATCATGCATGCATCCAACCATCATCCATCCATCAATAATCCATCCATCCATCCATCATCCATCAATAATCCATCATGCATCCATCATCCATCCATCCCTTCATCAATCCATCCATCATCCATCCATCATCAATCCATCCATCATCAATCCATCCATCCATCAATAATCCATCATGCAT